TGTTTATCTTCCTTGTAAGTCAGCCAATCAAGGTTATTTTTTATTTGATTTAATGTTTGTGAAATTTGTTTCTTAGTATGTAAATTTTAAAGCTATTTGTACCTCAAGCTCTTGCACCTCATTCGTACACCGCAAGTTTGCACTGACATTTTGTATTGGTATAAAACTAATTTTTGTTAATGCATCAATACTTTGTGTCAGTGTAAATTTTTGTTAACGTACCAACATTTGTGTCGGTGTAAACCATCAAAATATTTTTGTATAACTGCAGTTACAGATGGAATACAATTTTTTGTCCAAATTTTTTATTTGTAGTTTATATTTTAAAAATGAAGGCTTTGTTTGGTAAGAGCGTTTTCGATTAATGTTAGTGTTTTAGATAAAATTTTAATGGTGTAGATTAAATTTGAAAACGCTAACGCTAAAGGCTACCGTCGGATAGCGTTTTCAAAACGCTAACGTTAATCTCTGACGCTGATGCCAAACGGGGCCGATATAACTATGCTTGTGCCGTTATGGTTCTTGCCTTTGTGGAGTACTTGCCATTCATACCGGAATGTACTTATGAACACATGGAGGAATTTTGGTGTCAATTTGCAACAAGTCAGTGGCAAAGTAGAAAACAAAACAATCTTTATTGTTCATGTTCGGATATTTACTAAATTTTTTTAACTTTACAAATTAAGAAAATCTTACGTTCCAAAATGAATAATTCCAAAAATAAACATCTTACTTTCTCAAAAATAAACGTCTTACATTTCCAAAAATCAAAATGATACATAATTGGCATTACATAATTGAAAAACAATTAAAATTGGAGCATGAAATTTGAAAATAAAATTAAAGGAAAAAAAATAAAAAGAGTACGAAGAAGAAGGGATGAAGAAGATGGTGAGGAAGAAGGTGGAGGGACTGCAATAGTTGAAGAAGAGAGAGAAAGTGGTCAATTATTAAAAAATTAAAAAGGAAAAAAGGAGGGGTATATATATGGGGTTAAAGTGGGGTTTATTTGGTGGTGTGCATATAGCATTTCCGAAAAAAGTAAAGGAGAAGGGGTTGAGGGAGAGAGAAAGAACTAAAAAGAAAAAGTAAAAAGGTAACTTTGAGTGTATTTTAATTCTATATTAGGAAATGGAAAAAATTAAATGGGATGACCCAAAAGGAAAAGTGAAAAAAAAGTATGGGACAGAAGGAGTATATGCTTGCAGAAGAAAACATGACGTAGTTTGAAAAGGAATCTTTAATTTATCATTTACTTTTAAAAGAATTATTTGCCCAAATATGGAAGAATATGTCAGATGGTGTAATTGCTTTTTCGAACTATTATGAAAAAAACACAATGTGCCTCATCATACATAACATTTGACCTACTATTTTATTTGTGAAATCTGCTTCAATTCGAAACTTCCAACTCACATTTATGCATTAAAAATATATATATAGACAAATCATGTGTGAAGAAACTTTTTTTTTCTGGACTTACTATAAGTTACTATGCATATGAATTACTACCTTGCCTCTACTTCATCTATTCAAATCGTCGATAAATTCATTGGCTAATGCTCATTGATCTTCTTTTCTTTATTAGGAGGATATCTTATTCATGAGTTCTTCAAATTAAAGTAAAATTTCAGGCACCTAGAGTTTTTCCTACTTGCACATGTCTAATAATTGCATTGAGGTCTTGTCTAAAACCTAAATGCAACTCACCCTAAATAATTTCAGGCAAACTAATACTCCCTCCGTGCCTATTTTAATTACAAAATGAGAATTACAAGTTAAAATCATATTATTTTTTAAATCATTTTATTTACAAATTGGTACATTAATACGGAATAAAAATTACGGAGTACATGTTAAAAAACAACATCAAAGTTCTACAAAAGAAGAGGTCACATAAACAAACAAAAGTTATTGAGAAAATTGAGAAAATAATATTGTAATAAATATGGGGACGGAGGGAGTACTTTACAGGCACTATTACATGGAACATATTCCATCCGTTCTCAAAAACATTTCCTCTTTCATTTTTTCTACTTCCAACAAAACACTTCTCTTTTCTATTAAAAAACCACTTTTACCCTTACTTTTTCATACCCTACCTATCACATCATACTTTTTCTCTAATAATCTATCCATCACATCTTACTTTTACCCATCACATCAGGGGTAAAATTGGAAATCAACTATAATTTAACACTTCCTTATTTTTGCCCAAAATCCAAATGGGAAGTGTTTTTCCAAACGGAGGGAGTAGATAATACTCCCCCCGTCCGTAAATAAAATTCTTGTTGCGTGTTAGATGTTTGACTGAAGCTATTTTCAAATCATTTGATATGAAAAATGGTATGAAATTTAATAATAAAAATTACATATTGAAAAACTACATGAAAATATCTACAAAATTAGAGGTGGCATGACTATATTATTTTATCGAATGAGAAACAAAAAAAAGCCAACAAAATGAATAAAGTTTGACCTGAATGGTGAACTAGATATT